CAATCATCACCACAAGCAATTCTATAACAATTTCTTCCTCCTTGTACTCATTCTTCTTCTGTTTTTTATTAAATAATCATTTTATTAGGGGCTCATACAACTCATCACAATCTGTACATACGTCATTTGTGTCCAGCACATTAGTACATATGTTGACTTCATCATTCTCGTACTCATTCTTCTTATTATTAGTCTAAAAATCAGTTTACTGGGCTCCATTGTGTCAAGTACATTAGTACATAAGTTGCTATCATCATTTTCAAAACATTTTCTTGCTACTTGAACTCTTGGTATCAGCTCCTCTTTTGTATTTCCCACCCTCCCTCTCTCCTTCATGAACTCTTGATTATTTATAAATTATCTATATAATTTCTAATTATCTATATCTATATCCATATGTACTCTTACACCGACCACTGTCTCCCTTCACCCACTTTTCTATTGTCCATCCCCCTGGGAGGGGGTTATATGTCAATCATTGTGATTGGTTCCCCCTTACCCTCCCCACGCCCTTCCCTTCCCCTCCTAGTATTGCTACTATCATTATTGACCCTCAGGGCTATTCTTGTCTGAATTATTCCACCACCATTAACAAACACTCAGTTCCCCCAAGCAAAAACTCTTCCTCCTTCACCCATGGTAACTGTTGGTCAGATTTTTTTTTTTCCCTTTTCAGTTTTCTTGACATAGTATTCACCTGTCCTACACTTCCAAAGTTAAATTGCCTTTAAAATGAGTTGGATAGACATCATCACAATCAATTCTAGTGCTCCCCCCATTTTCTTCTTTCTTATCCTCATTGTGATTAGCTCCCCATTTCCCCCCAACACCCTCAGAAGCCATTAATCTAGTCACTATCTATATAGATCTACCTATCTAGGATTTCATATACAGAAAAACATTTTTAAAAATTTTTAAACAGCTTTATTGACACATAATGCATAATATCATACCATTCAATAGTTCAATCACATGAAGAAGAGTTGTACAATCATGACCTCAGTCAATTTTAGGACTTTTTCTGTTTTCTTGTCCTCACTGTTGTAGCTCCCTATTTGTGTTAGTCCGGCAGACTAGAGAAACAAATCCAGGGAGACTCATAGGTGTATAAGAGGGAGCTTTATGTCAAAGAGTAATTGTACATTAACAAAACATTCCAGCCCAGTCTAGATCAAGTCCATAAATCCAGCTTTAGCCCATACATCCGATACCAATCTATAAATTCCTCTTCAGACTCATGAAACACATGCATTGATGCCGAATGCAGGATGATCACAGGCCAGTGGGTGTAAAGTCTTGTGGATCCAGTGGTGATATAAGCTTCTCAGTGCTGGCGTGGGTCTCCACGTGGCTTCTCCAGCTCTGAGGCTCTGGCTGCCATCAGACTGTCTCCATGTGGCTTGTCAACAAGAACGTCTGGTAGAGACTGAGCTCGTGTCCCACCTCCAACAAGCTATTCATTGCCTTCCCGCCTCCAAATGAGGTCATCAAGCTGCGATCTGATTGACAGGCTAAGCTCCACCCCTTCATGCCTAATCCTCTCAAATTGACAACAGACTCTATAACTACCACACTATTTCCCACCCCCAGCCTTTCCTGCCAGACCCCAAGGAACCGTTAAAGCAGTTACGAGCTCTATAGATTTACCTAGCTTGGATTTCATCTACAGAAAAAAACATATGAAAACAAAACAAACACACACACAACAGCAATCCAGTGAAACAGAGAAATACTTCAATAGAAAAGAGAGCAGAAAATACAAAAAAAAAACTGGAACAAATTTAAAATGGTTCTAAAGGGAGATCAAATAACAAGGTGTTACATGTTCACCTCACAGCATCTGCAATAATTTGCTTTGAAATGCACTCTACATGGTAGTGAGGCTGCTCACATCCCGGGTCTAGGGTCAGAAGGAATTCACCGGGGGGCTTAATCCATGGGTGTATTCCCCTGCATCCCCCACTTTTTTAAAACAGAAACAACTTTTCAAGGGCTTGAAAGGGAGATCCAATGATAGGGTATTCCACTTTAACCTGATCAGATCTCCAGGGTGAAGGTTCTGAGGGCCTCTGAGTTGCCCTTTCTCTAATCGCTATCAAAAGGTCAACTTGATGTTAAAGGTCAACTTGATGTTAAAGGTTAACTTGATGTTATCTGACCACAATTCAACAACACCCTCGCACTGCTTAAAAAAAGAAAAAGGGTTTCCTCCCCGCTCCCACTACCATGACTCGAATTCGATCTTGCAAGACTGGCTAGACCAGAGGAGGTACACTGGTACAGATAGGAACTG